CATGGTATTTTTATTTATTTATTTATATATTTTTAAAGATTTTATTTATTTATTTGACAGAGAGAGACACAGTGAGAGAGGGAACACAAGCAGGGGTAGTAGAAGAGGGAGAAGCAGGTTTCCCGCAGAGCAGGGAGCCTGATGCGGGGGCTTGATCCCAGGACCCCGGGATCACGACCTGAGCTGAAGGCAGATGCTTAACGACTGAGCCACCCAGGCGCCCCACCATGGTATTTTTAGAAAAGAATATAATTCATTCTTGTCCTAGCTAGACTCACCTTTGTGGTGTCATGTGCATTTAATATGCCTTCTACAATGTCAGAGAGATCCGTATGTAACTCCTTTAAAAACAGAAATCCAAAGGAATAATTAGAAAAGAGTAATCATTTTTATTATTCAATGGCTAAAATATACTGTATTTTGGTCAAGTATGTAAAGAATTTTTTATTAAAAAATTTTTAATATTATTTTATATTTTTACAGTGTTATACGTGTTATATTGGTTTCAGGTATACAATATAGTGGTTCAGTAATTCCATACATCACCCACTGCTCATCACAAGTGCCCTCCCTAATTCCCATCACCTGTTTAACCCATCCTCCCACATCCCTCCACTCTAGTAATTATCAGTCAAGTACTTTTTAAAAATTACCTTAATAAATAGATTTGCTTTGAAAAAATTAAGAGAATTCTCCTGCAGTTTCATTCTTACTTTACACAGTAAGTTCAGTTTATTAAATTTTCTAAGGCACATTGTCTTCCCAATTTTGTACCTTCAGCTATGAATATGTGGAGTAGTAGCCTAATACAGCAACTCAAAGTAATAACAAATCCTTTTCCCTTTCTCTCTCTCTCTCTTTTTAAATCCTCCACTCTATTTTCTTATTGGAAGTTTACATGCAACAATATGTATAAAATCAGAACTTACCGGGATATCATCTGTGCGGTTGTCCTTCCACACCTCTAAAAGTGCAACCACCATGTCTCTCAGTTCAACCCTGGAGAGAACTCCATCACGGTCAACATCGAACACCTTGAAGCAAACTAAAGAAAAGAAACTCTTACTTTTCTATTCTGAAGTACAATGCCTTTCACTAGAAGTTGCCCTAGTAAAATCACTTAGTTTCTCAAGCAAGTATATTCTGGATTAAGTTCTCATCTGGAGCAGACTATAATACATCATTGAAGTCCTCTGCACTAGTAGGACTTCCTGCATACTTCATATAGCTCTCTCTGAATCACTACCTGGGTTACAGAGTCCTATCCTTTACCCAAATCTAGAGCTAAATTCCTTGCAAACTAATAAAAAAGGGTTAAGTTACTATACAATAAATATTAAATACCTCATAGTTTTGAGGAAGTAATCCAAGCCTTTAATTTCTAATATTTAAAACTGATCATTGCAGAATTGATTTTTATAATGTTGAAAATATTCCATTTATATTAAGAATCAATAATAAGGTGGAGCACCTAGGTGGCTTAGTCGGTTAAGCGTCTGACTCTTGGTTTTGGCTCAGGTCATGAACTAAGGGTCATGATATCAAGCCCCACGTTGAGGTCCATGCTCAGTGGGGAGTCTGCTTGAGATTCTTTCTCTCCCTCTCTTGCTGGCCCACCCCACCCCTGCTTGCTCTCAAAATCGCTCTCTCTCTCAAATTTAAAAAAGAAAAAAAAAAAATCAATAACAAGGTGTTATAAAGATGGTCTGCTTCCACTCTGCCTCTCTAATGTAACTAATGCACACTCAATTTTTTGCCAAAGAACAATTTCAACTCCTCAGTGAAGTTATATACAACATGCTAAGAACTAGAAATATCAGCAGTGGGGCGCCTGCGTGGCTCAATCGGCTTAGGTGTCTGACTTTGGCTCAGGTCGTGATCTCAGGGTCCTGGGATTGAGCCCTGCTCAGCAAGAAGTCTGCTCAGCAAGAAGTCTGCTTCTCTACTCAGCAAGAAGTCTGCTTCTCCCTCTCCCTCTACCCCTCCCCTAACTCCTGCACATACACTCTCCCAAATAAATAAATAAAATCTTCAAAAAAAAAAAGAAAAGAAATATCAGCACTTTCCTAATTAACTCCAAACAAATCATGACAGTTTGCTAACTTCTGTTAGTCCATCAGCAAAAAGGAAATTAAAAACAAATATAAGGTGATAATTAACCTCACGTGAGAAGCAAAGATTTCAGCCTCCTTATTTAAAATTAGAACTTTAATGGGAACATATAATCTACTATAAAGCCAGATTGTAGTAATGGCATATCATCAGGGAAGAATCCTGAATTTTAAGATTAAATAATTATCTATTTCAATATACCACCATAATAATTATGCTACTAAATCAATTGAGTGCATCATAGTAAATATTACTAAAGAAGATCAAAATATCAAATAGCACACCCAAAATAAGTGACATTTGTGCAGCTGTATTTTAGAAAGACACAGAAATGATGACCCTAGTAAATACAACAGAATTAGGTTCCAATTAAATGTAAACTGTTGCATTTTCTCAAATATGGTTAAGATTTAATAACATAATGTACTATGCTTGTAAATTATGCTGTAACAACATTTTAGCTAGGTATAAGACCATTTTAGTATTTAATAAAGTTGTGTTTTGATGACAGATTTCATCTTACTAATAAAATATTAATGTATACAAGTGACAGAAAATGAGTTGTACTTTAAATTATGCAAGACACAAATTCTCTATGGACTACCAGAAAATGTTTTCTAAATGCTTAACACTGTCAAATATATTGTGACAGCGTCACTTATCATGAACTGCAAATTCATCAGGAAAATCAGTTCCATTATTAATCACAAAGATCCCAAACTACTCCACAGTAAAAAAGAAGCGAAGATTGAATCCTTAGACCGACTTCAGTAAAACCTCAACGTGAGACTGGTATTTGCCAACCTGACAACGTGATAAAAATTCAAGCCTTAATACACAGATGATTTTACATGGATGAATGCTAATTTTTTCTCTGTATATACAGTTTGCAGATTTTTAATTGTTTAAATTAAATGTTTAACACACTTACATTTTTGTCTTTCAGCCAGGGGTCCCCTGCAACAGGCTGATAACCCACAAGATATCTCCTTAAAATCTATGTGATTGTCACGATTTTCATCAAAAGCATTGAACAAACCTGTGAAACAGGAAAAGACACCATAAATCACAGTCAACAAGCCTCCTAATGTTAATAATATCATGTTTATGAAAGGAGCATGACACCCATAAACTTGCCAAATTAAAAAAAATAAAAAGTTTATCAGTAGTTCTCACTGTCTCAGGAAGCATTTTTCTCCTGGTATAACTAAAACTTAAGATCTTGCAGAAAATACATTACAGTCATTTAGTGTTCAGTTATATTTGCCTGTTCGTTTCTATCTTCTATTAGTTGTAACAGCTAAAGATGACAATAGTATGTAAAAAATTAAAATCAATTTAAAAAATTAAAAACTGAAAAAAAATCAGAAATTATAATTATCCTTACTTAGAAAGATTACGAAAAAAAAGGAAAAATGAAGGAGAAAAGCTGATGTATACTCAAAGATATAACATAATGTTATGTAAGCTCCCATAAAGCTTTCATTAAGCAAAGAAAAATAACACACCATATTGCAAACAAAAGATATTCTCTGTAATGAAGTCTTCTTTGTCATAGTTCATGTTTTATAAATAAATATTTAAAATCAGAAAGAGAATTTATAATCCCGTGGTTTTTAAACTTTTTGTAAAATACAAATGGAATAATTTTGTTTTCAAATAAAATGATTTCTCAATATTCAATTCTAAAAAGGTAAAATCCCAATTGCACTGCTGAAGTAAGTGGAAAAGCCCAGAGCCCTATCTGCTCCGGCTCCTCCAATAAGTACTTCTGAAGTACCCCAGGAATGTGATGAACACAGACTGTACATTTTAAGAATGTAATTCCTTAAATAGTAGAAAACTAAAGCTCAGGAGGGGTTAAATGATTGGCCAAAAGTAAAGAAAAGTTAAAAAAGGTCAGAATCAAAAAGACAACCCAAATATTCAGATTCTAAATATGATTTTTATGATATCACCCATAATTACTCTCTGTATTCCTAATTAAATAAAAAAAAGTTATAGTAATGAAAAGTTTAGAGCTAGAAAGGACCTCAGAGATGGTTCAGCCCAATAGTTTCTTAAATCTTTTTTTGGTGCGGGGGTAGGAATGGGGTGGGGTAGATACAGCAGTGGAACCTTCTTATGTAGAAGAAAAAAAGTGGAGGCGCTTGAGGTGAGGAAGAGGTGGGGTTATGTGTGGAGACCTGGAGCTCTACCCAGGCAGTGACCATCACCCTAATCCCTGCACCAGTGGCTGAGATACTTCACTGGAATACAGTGACTAACTTGGTCAAACTCGTTTTATATTTGAGGATATTCAGGTGCAGGGAGCTAACCTTGATGCAAGGTTACACATAGGTAGAATAGGAAGCTCAACACTACAATCTTAATTCCCCTTTTAGTTTTTTTCCACTATACTATTTTTAAGAAACTTGCAAACTTGTAACATTATGGTCTTTTAGAGTTAAGATATATTCATTAGAAATAAGAGATGGCTTCAGGTGTGTTTACCAAGGAACATTTGTAGAAATGAATGAATTTGTAGAATAGAATGATTCCTACCTTCACTTAGAGATGGACGAATGGGTGGTGAAACCAATGGGCCAAATGTCTCTAGGTCAAACCGTCCAGTCCGGGATTGAGCCTTTAGCAACCAGTAGCGTTTCTCCAGATCAATGATGTCTGATTCCTCCACTGAGAGTCAAATCAAATAAGATTATAAAACCTCAGACTTCTCTTCTAGGCAGTTAGTTCAACCTGATCATTTAACTTCCAAGGATATATTTTAATTTTCCAATTCAATTGCTAAAAATATTTACCTAAACAAAACTGAAAGACAAATACATTATATCTAAAATGGCATGAAAATTGGGGCACCTGGGTGGCTTAGCTGGTTAAGTGTCTGACTCTTGATTTCAGCTCATGTCATGATCTCAGGGTCATGAGATCTAGCCTGGAGTTGGGCTCCCCACTGGGCGTGCAGCCTGATTAAGATTCTCTCTCCCTCTCCATATGCCCCTCCCCCACCCCCACTTGTGCTCTAAAATTAAAAAATAAAGAAAACTGCATGAAAATTAAATTCAAATTAATAGAAAAGTGGCTTCAAAATCAGAAAAAAAAATGTCTGCAATTTCCCATTAAGTAGGTTGCTTAAATCCAACATGTAAAATAATAAACAACTGAGACATTTCTTTTTGGGTTCCTATACCACTTTTACTTATACTCATTTTTCATAATTTTCAATCTCTATCTTGGATTTAAAGATTTTTTTTTAAAATTCAAGTTAGTTAACATATAGTGTATTATTAGTTTCAGGGGGAGAATTTAATGATTCATCAGTTGCATGTAACACCCAGTGCTCATTACATCAAGTGCTCTCCTTAATGCCCATCACCCAATTACCCCATTCCCCCCACCCACCTCCCCTCTAGCAACCCTCAGTTTGTTCCCTAGAGTTAAGACTCTCTTATGGTTTGCCTCTCTCTCTGTTTTTATCTTATTTCATTCCTGTAATCATCCTAATAGCAGGATCCATGTCTGATTCATCCTGTTGATAGAATAACTACCTACAGAGTCAATACTTATTAAATTAATGAAAAAGAATATGAAAAGGATCTCATAAATAACAAAAGTCAATAAATGACAGATGATGTAGAACAGGATTTACAATGTGATAAGTAATAGGAGCATCATGAAAACATGAATATCTTTCTCTCCTCATTCAACAGAAGATACAATAAAAAATTACAGATAAGCTCCAACCACAGTTATATTTTATATGTGCTTTCCCCCCCAAGGAACTAAAGTAAGATCTAGAAAGCAAGCAGGTGAGTCCTTCCATTGCCATGGTTTTTTACCTGCAGTCACTTTCCAGACACTGGTAAGGTATGAGGAACCTAAGCAGTGAGATTTCACTAAGTTAAACCGAGAAGCTGTAGTTCTGGGAGGTTAAGATAACTGAAATTTACAGGGCAGATTACTGGAGAGGAAAGAGTTATACAAAGAAAGAGCTCCAAAAGTACGCACAGGACTCTTGTTGAGTTTTGGCAGAATAGCAGAAGAGTAAGCTATGTATGCACACAGTGAAATTCATTGAGGCTGGGCTTGGATATGCCTAAGTTTTGACCAGCCAGAGTGGGGATACCTTACCGAACACTGGGAGTATTCATAGACTCAGAGGGTCACACTTAAAAAAGGGGAAAAACTAACTCCAAAATAAAGGCTACTCCAGACCTGCCCCAACAAAGCTTTTAAAAAAATCCTTCAAAATGTCAAGCTGATCCACAAGTAATTTAACTGCCTATCAAAAGAAAACAAACTCGGGCGCCTGGGTGGCTCAGTCGTTAAGCGTCTGCCTTCGGCTCAGGTCATGATCCCAGGGTCCTGGGATCGAGTCCCACATCGGGCACCCTGAGGCCTGCTTCTCCCTCTCCCATTCCCCCAGCTTGTGTTCCTTCTCTTACTGTGACTCTCTCTGTCAAGTAATCATTTGACAGAGAGAGAGGGAGAGAGGGCACGAGTGGGGGAAGGGAGAGAGAGAAATAGACTCCCCTGCCAAGCAGGAAGCCCAGTGCGGGGCTTGATCCCAGGACCCCAGGATCATGACCTGAGAGGAAGGTAGACGCTCAACCAACTTAGCCATTCAGGCGTCCCTAAATTATCTTGTTGTTAATGTTCACAGTAGAGCCAGAAGAAGAAATTATACCTTACATAAAATAGATAGTAATAATACCTACATATTTACCGCTCAGAAAAAGGGTATTAGAAATTGTACCTCTATATTAGGCATTTTCTAACAAATTTTTCCAGGTTTCTATGCATATCAAAGAGAAGTGGATACCTTAGTTTTCTGGCAGAGAGAAGTAAATGAGGGAGAAGGCTGTATTGCCAAACAAGCTCAAGCCCTGTAAAACTCACTTCTATTATTTGTTTCTATTGAGAATCAGTTAATAAGACTATAATGATTCCTTCTGGAATTGTGACTGAAGAAAGAAAAAAAAAAACTGATGTCACTTATTTTTTCTAAACCTCTGTAATACTACTATGGACTATATCTAACCAATCTGGTACTTGGTACATGTCAATGTTTGAATGGAAAGGCTCAAAATAACTCAAATGTGCCTCACATATGTGCTTTATTTTCAATTTCACACAGGGTCACAAAGACATTACAGTAATATAAGCCATAGGAATAAACCTATAATAATATCCTTACTAATAAATGTTGTCTAAAAAAAAAAAAAATCAAGAATTTACTCTCCGTAAAGTATATGCTTATTCCTGGTATTACATGATTAATTTGGTTGCCATTAAATAATTCAGTGGAGATTTTACCAATACTATTGAAAAATATAATTCAGGAATGTATGCATCACCCAGATTGAGATAAAAAATCATTTCCATCAGAGCGCCTGGGTGGCTTAGTTGGTTAAGCGTCTGACTTCAGCTCAGGTCATGATCTCAGGGTCCTGGGATCAAGCCCCACATGGGGCTCCGCATGTTGAGCTCCCCATGTTGGGCTCCCTGCTCAGCAGGGAGTTTGCTTATCCCCCTTCCCCTCCCCCTGCTTGTGCACACTCTCTCTCTCAAATAAACAAAATCTTAAAAAAAAAATCATTTCCATCATCCCAGATATCTTATGGTCCTTCCCAATTAATCCACCCATCCCCCAAATAACTATTCTAATACCTAACACCATTTGTTAGTTTTGCCTCTGTTTTTGAGTTTCATATACATGGAAATATACAGTAAATATTCTTTTTTGTGTGACTTCTTTTGCTCAGTATAAGGTTAGCCCTACCATAACTTACTAAAATGGGAAAAATAAATATTATAAACCACAGATGACAAGGGCTATGTCTACTTAATTTTTATAAAATACCTAGCTTATAAAATATAAATGTATATACAAACACTTAATGGAGTTGTTTAAAGATGGAATGGGCTGGGTGCCTGGTGGCTCAGTCAGTTAAGCATCTGCCTTCAGCTCAGGTCATAATCTCGGGGTCCTGGGACCAAGCCCCACTGCCCTTCCCCCCACCCCTGCTTGTACTCTTTCTCTTATGCACACACTCTCTCTCTCTAATAAATAAATAAAATCTTAAAAAAAAAAAAAAAGATGGAATGGGCTTTCTTTAGAGACAACTTGGAGGTACTATAACTGTCGGTCCAAATAAGCACTTGGTGGAGATGATGCAGGGGAGATTCAAATATGTATATAAGCTATATATCCTAATTCAGAGTACCATGGTATTTTTATTTATTTATTTATATATTTTTAAAGATTTTATTTATTTATTTGACAG